TTAGAATTCTGATGGCGGTGGGAAAGTTTTGCTATTTGCAGGATGGGAAAGTGAAATATAGGGGGAAATTATTATTTTTTTCCTAATTGAAGAGGATTAGGACGTGAGATTTAATATTGAAAAAGTAAAGTGAATCAAGTAGGTTCGTGAAAGTTATGTATGACCTTAGGTATGACACGTGATTGGTTGTTATTGGGAGATATTTTTTCCACTAAAGGTATAAAACAACCGTTGGAGCCTAAAATAGGTAGTACAAATTTTTTATATAAATCTACTCTGACACGTCAGATTTACACAAAAATATATACATAATGGTTGGAGATACTCTAAGCAATACAAGGCCTATATTTTTGTAAAATTAGTATTTAAAGACATCAATAACCTTGTAAAATTAACTTTGCATTTCAACGACATTTCATAATATTTTTGTCATTTCATATCAAAATATAAGGTTATTAATATTTTTTTAATAAAAGGAAATAACAACTTAGTCATTGTGATACCCCCTAATTTCGGAACACGGATTGATCAAGTCTGCGCACAAAATTAGAGAATATCAAAACAATTAAAGTATTTAAACAAGTACGGATTACAAAATGAAATAAAGAATAAAATAAAACGCTGAAGAAATCCAATTAATAGTAAATCCATTAATAACTTCCAAATGGTTACAATTCGGGATTCCCGTAACTCAAGGACCCCTTAACCAAAAGTTACTATTTAGAATTTCAACCAAATAAATACTAATATCAACTGAAACAAAACTAATATCCTACTTTTAAATAAATAGAAGGAATGGATAAGTTCTCCAGCTGCGGATCCTCAACCTTGAAACTTGACCTTCTAACAATCTGAAAAATAAATCGCGGGTTAAACCATACGAGCAAGTTCTCTCTACCAAGCCTCTAAAAACCAATAAACAGATCATCTTTACCAAAACCATCCCTAATTAAGCTTTAACTTTAATATACGATGCTACAAATATATATAAATACTTATATATATAGTACAATAATCATATCTGTTAATAGGGCATTAAATTGTCAAAACCACTCACCAATGATTAATTATCAGTCATACCTAGACCAAGCCCCCCCCCCCCTTTATAATTTTCTCATAAAGTAAACTCCACTCACCTTAACTCCATCCTAAACAGTAATTTAGTCATTTAAACAATAACTTACAATTTAAGGAAAAATCCAATAAATCCAAAATCCAATAATACTTTTGATCATTTAAATTACATATCCAAAATTTAAGCTTTGACAAATCATCCATGTCTCCACCACTATTATTTTATTGACATATATAAAATAATACACTAACCTGTATACACTAGATTATTCTAGTCATAATCCAACCTATACATACCATAACCTTAGATGGCATTTTAATCATCTAATTAACATATAGCAATTTAAATGTGCACGGGCAAATCAACCATACCATTTATAAATATATTTATTTATGTACTAGCAATTCAACCATGCTTCCTTAAGTATATTTACTTATACAATTAATTAGCAATTCAACCATACTTCCCATATATAAAATTTATTCATAACCAATAAGGCATATATCAAAGCCTTTGGCAACTCATCCATGCCTACAATTCAACCATGTACTAACTTTAAACTTAACTCTAAGTTTAATTATACATAGACTTCACATACATATTATAAGCATGTCCTTAATTTACTAACTGAGTATCTATTATGATTTTAAATCAACTATACCATCCACAAATCAAGTCATACCAAATAAGATTTATAATATTTAATAATCTTAAATGATATATATATACACATATATTTTATAATATATATATGTGCATAATACATTCCATACTAATCGTTGACTATTTAAAATCATATCTACATATATATACATGTGTACACCTCCTTTCATGGCAAAAATATTTAATTAATTGTATTTGTACAAATTAATTGCTACTAAGTATCTTAGTAACACTCTGAGGCTCTCAGAATACCAAGAACACACCCTCTAATGATTAATTTTAACCCTAACAAGCTTAAGATAAATACTAAAAATTCACCGGACTCCCAAGCAACTTTCCAGGACCTCACATGCATCCCCACGCGCCTCCACTCGCCGCCACATACTCCTAGACTACTCACACGCGCCTCCATGCGCTTTCCCTTACCGGCAGGCGCGTCCACGCGCCCTCACGTTCCTAAACCACTCTCGGCGCTTGTTGGCAGCTTCCCATTGGCTGTCCCTCTGTTTCTTGTTGAGCTCGCCCACACCGTGTCATCTCCCAGCATTTAATTTACATCTAATGGCCAGATCTTGAAGGCACACCAACTCCCCATAGATCGCGCCACACCAGATCATCATCCACCATCATCATCACTATCAATAACCCAGATAAGTGAGTGCACCATTCTCCTATGTATACACACACACTGGAACATTCCTATTTCATTAGGACCATCTAATTGTCCTAATTTGAGGTGCACCGTAGCTCTGTGGACACCGCCGCACCGAATCACCACCCCTTAAATGATGCGCCGATTACACACACCCCTAGTACATATATATAAACAATACATAAATATATATATATATATATATATATATATATACAGAATATATAAAATAACTTCTAAAATCATAAAATAATTCCAGAAAATTTCCATAAAATCCTAGAAAATGCTAGAAAAATCCCCTAAGCTTAATTTAATTATTTTAAGCCTAACTGAATATATATAATTAAATTAAGATCTATTTAATTCAATTCATCATGCTACACAAGGCTAAAGCAATCTATAAAAATTTCTCAAAATAAAGTTTAATTAAACTAACCTCACATACAAGATTTTAAATTATCAGAACATTACATACATATATTCACATGTTTAAATCTAAAATTTTGTAAAGAATAAACATGCTCTTCTAATCCGATTAATAATTTATTTTTAATTAACAAAATAAAAATATAATTTTGATACTCAAGGTGATAGGTTTATGAATTTTAAGAGCAGAAGTAGAGAAGAACTCGTCTGTCTCTTCTAAATCTGGCCTCATCTTTCTCTGATCCAGCTTCCTCTTTGTTAACCCTTTTTTCCTTCTCTCTCTGAATCCCTTATTTTTCTAACGTGAGAAAAACTCCTAACCCTAAAGTCTAATGTGTCTATTTATACACATCAAAACCAAATCCTTTTCCCATTAGGATTAACATATAAAATAAATAATATTTATCTTCTAAACAATATATATACACATATATCTTAAGATAAATATGTATATTACCTTCCATATATAATCATTAGTTAAATAAATTATATATTCCTATATATCAATATATATATATATATATATATATATACTGACATATATACCCCTCCACATGATATTAATTAGTTAAATTTATATACATATAATTATATATATATATATCTAAATTTGCAAAGATAATGATTAAATATCTTCACAACCATAGGCCTTTAATAACTAACCCAAGAAGGCTTCCTTCAAGCCCAATACCACATCCGTTGGTCCAACTTCCCTTAAACCCAATCCAAATAATTTAAATACATAAAATAACTAAATAAATAATACATACAAGCTTAAACACACAAGCTTAAACGCACACAAATGAAATAAACAATTCACTCATTAGCATTTCGGAAATCAAACACCATAAACAAATCACAATTTATCTACTCACTTTATTAAATAAAACGAATCATTTAAAAATAAAATAAAAAATTAATTTTAATTAATAAATCATTTTAAAATATCGGGGTATTACAGTCATGTTTTAAATTTTTATTAACACATGGGGTGTGGTTAAATACACGCGCCAAATCTGAGAATGATCAAAATAATACTACATACGTCCCAAAAAAAGTGTCGCTTTTAGGAAACCGTGACAGTTCAATTTGTAAGAGTCACGATTCCCCAAAAATGACACTTTTTATAGGACCGAGGGAGTAAAAGTCAAACGTTACACCAATATATAATTTATCTAAACTTTAAAAAACAGTTAGTGTAATTACCTTAAAAAAAAATGAAATGATCACTATTATAAAATTTCACATGATGAGCAAGGAAAAAAGATAAAGTTACTATGAATCTATGATATAAAGTTGCATCTGAATTTAACTTTAATTTACGTCATTCAATTGTTTTTCTTTTTTACTTTAATTTAGGTCGTTCAATTTGACTTGAGAGCAAATTAAATTTCGAAAAATTATACCATTTGACTTCATTAGTCCTGTCATTCCCACAAAATTCTCTAAAACGTTTTCTCTTCCCGAATTCTCCTCTCTTCTTCATTTCAGCGTCTCTCCCTCTCTCCCTCTGGTTCACTAATTAATAGTCCTATAAATTGCCAAAAAAGAAAAAAAAGAAAAAAGAAAAAAGAAAATTAATTCAGATTATGTCCAGAAAATTGGGGTTTATAATTTTAGATTTCGATAAGAGATAGAAGATTAGTGCTTGTATGTGTTGGAGAAATTCGAAATTAAATACAGAGAGAGCCATAATCGAAAATGGAGGAAGAATCGAAAGTAGAAAAGGAATTTTAATGCTCTGTTTTTTTCTTTCGATTTTGCAAAATTAAGGGTCGTAACCGAACATAGAGGAAGAATAGAAAGTAGAAAAGGAATTTTAATGCCCTGTTTTTATTTTTTCTTTTTCCTTCAATTTTGCAAAACCAAGGCGTAATGAAGAATCTATATCTACGTGTATCTTCAAAGACATTATATGTTAGTTCGTGGAATCCATGGGCATGATGGTACTTAAATTGATCTATGATCACTCCATACTATTTAGTATAATTTAATATATTTACTTATTTTGTTTAAAATATTTCTTACAAAATCGAGACCAAATAGAATTTACATTGTCCAAACATCCCTCAACAGAAAAGAGCATTAGCACTTCTCACCCACTCTTGAGTTAATTTATGTGGGTCGCACCATAAAAGCCACAACCACACCTCATGAACTCCTATCTGCGTTACATGTGAATTTTAGCTGACAATACCAGTCAGTGTCGGCGCTTATTCTCTCCACCCTTCCTCACTTTCTCTCTCTCTCTCTCTCTCTCTCCATATATATATAGATAGATATATATCACTCGTGAGCACACAAAACTGCCAAAAGCCACACTCAAAAGTGTAACCATACAAAACTTAAACACCGAAAGCCACATAAGTGAAAAAAAAGACAGACACACACAGTCCTACCTCTCTGAAAACCAAAATGAGATTCTTCTCTCTCTACATTTGCCTCTTCTCTCTATCACTTCAATTGCCTCGGTGTCTATCGAGTTACCATAACTATCCAGAGGCATTATCGAAATCGATTCTGTTTTTTGAGGGGCAGAGGTCGGGGTTCTTGCCGTCGGACCAGAGGATGTCTTGGCGGGCAAATTCCGGCCTCAGCGACGGCTGGATGGTCAACTATGACCTCACCGGCGGCTACTATGACGCTGGCGACAATATCAAGTTCGGGTTTCCGATGGCGTTCACCACCACAATGTTGGCTTGGAGTGTGATTGAGTTCGGGAATTTGATGCCCGCCGGCGAGTTGAGGAACGCTCTGGTGGCGATTCGGTGGTCCACGGACTATCTTCTCAAGACCGTGTCTCAGTCCAATCGGATATTCGTTCAGGTAATAAAATACTATCACAAGAACACTCTCGTTATAAATTAGTGCAGGGCAAAACACATTTAACATTTAATATAATGAATGTGGATGTGAATTTGCAACTTTGCATAATATAATTTTATGACAAGACACTTTGATTGTGAATTTGCTTTACTATTCATTTGATCGAGTGCACGAAACATTCAATTGAACGTGGAAGACGCAAATTCACATGAGGGCACAAATTTTGAATTAATGCTATGGTGTATGGTTATATATTAGAGGTCCAGAGTTTAAATTCTCTTAGCCGCCTTTTAAGTATTTGTTTTTTTTTAATAATTGCATGACACATATTGCATGGGTTCGAAGATAGATTATTTATTGGATGAGAATACAAATTTTGAATGTGTTGTGAAACTCCCACCTCGCATAAAAGTTGTTTATATTGATAATTGTAATAATCATAAATACTAATGCGGACAATTTTTATGGATGAAAGAAGTATCATAAAAGGCCGATGTTACATTGTTGGAAAAAAATAAAACAAAATAAAAATTTTGTATGGTAATGTTGTGGAGAATTTGTGGGTAAATGGGTAAATTTAGAGGCGAGACAGTTGGTTATGGTTCGGAGGAACCAACCCGTGAGTAGAGGGAGTGGTGCGTAAATTGGGATTCCACGGGTTGTTGTGGGCTTTTTTGACACTTTGGGACCCACATTGTCCTCTTCCTAGTCTGCTAAAATCTATTGGTGGACAAGAAAGTTATTACAACTAAAGATACGCTCCTCGGAGTGCGTGCAGTTCAGTTTCCTTAGCCTCAATGGTCGGGGATCAAGAGAGGTCTTAGCACTAATCCAAAGTTTGTCATTTTCATGTCATCAGTATCTATCTATTCCAATCAAGTGAAATGGTTGATGGTATGACACATACTTGTCATCATGTGGTTGATGTTCACTCTTTTCCATTATCGAAGACGTGTATTATTCCTTTCGGGATAATGATTAATTATTTACCCTGAGTAATTTACTTTTCTCACCTTTTATGAATAAAATTTTTTTTGTATTTTTATTTAATTGTTGATTCGAGAAAATAGAGAAGGTCGTGAATTATTTTGTTATTAAAGTTGATGTACTACTTTGTTATTAAAACATATAAGGGGTGAGTAGAATGAAATTACTCACGATGAATAGTTAAGCATTGTTCTTTCGTATAAACTAATTTGGTAATAATAGTTCAATTTTTTTTTTTTTTTTTTTTTTTTTTTTTTTTTTTTTTTTATCAATAAAGTTTGGTTTTATTTATTATTATGTATTATTTTTATTTTTATTTTTTTTTGTAACTAATTTGGTAATAAAAGTCGTACTCTTATTTCCTTTTTTATCAAGGGAGGTAGTGGGTTCTGATTAGGTTGGGGTACCAAAAAGTAGGTAACCCAAGATTTTTCACTACATTTGTAGTGTAACGGTTCACATTCTAGATCTTTTATTGTTGAGTACATGTTCAAATTTGACGTGAAAATGAATTTAAATGCTAGGTTTGTTATTCTAATTTGTTGGGCTATAGAATTTTTAAAATTACATCAAATATTGACATTTTTAAAATATCAAAAAGCTAGTAAATATATTTATCAGAAAAAAATAGGAAATATAGTGAAATTAATAATTAACCAACGTTTCCCTCATTACCAATTCACTAGTAAATATACCATTATATACTACTTTTGGTATGGATTACATGCGAGGACCATAGAGTGTATGCTAAGTTATGTGGGACCCTTTTATAACTTAGTTTTATACAAATAATTATCTTAGTATATACATCACAAGACCAACCTTTTTTTTTGTTTGAAAAAAAAAAAAATAAATAAATTCATGACATTGTTCTTTATCATACATCATGTGTCGATTATGGATAGTATTACATGATTAGAGACTATAATCCATTACAATCTACCACGCATGTAAAATTTTAAATAAAACTGAAATATTTATTTGCTAGTCGAATAGGGATCGAGACCATATCATATAAAAAATTCTGATAGATCATGTGAGATGATGGCCCACTCACCAATGCCTTTTTCTTAAAGAGACTCATATGCTATTATGATTTCATTAGGTTGGGGATCCAAATATTGACCATAGCTGCTGGGAAAGACCAGAAGATATGGACACAGCCAGGACAGTGTACATGGTGGACGCACCGAACCCTGCTTCCGATGTGGCCGGTGAGACCGCGGCAGCCCTAGCAGCTTCATCCATCGCCTTCCGATCATCTGATCCCGGATACTCCGACACATTGCTGAGGCAAGCCACTGCGGCATTTCAATTCGCAGACAATTACAGAGGGGCTTATAGCGATAATTTGGATATTAGGGATGGTGTATGCCCATTTTACTGTGACTTTGATGGTTATCAGGCAAGCATTCCTCTCTATTAAATATGACCACCTAATTAAAAGTACGTGTTTAGTCAGAAATTATTAGTGGTTCAACCAATCGATAGAAACATTCCAACAAAGCAAAGTGATTGATTTTTATGAATAAAAATTGCTCTCTCCAATATTGTGGTACAAATCCTCATAGCACAATTCCCTCCGAATTAACTAAGATTGGCTTATTAGGTCTACGACCGATACTGTACCCGAGTCTCCTAGCCGCTGAATGTGATGGTGGCCCAAATCTGTAGTCCTTATATGTGTGTGCGTGTGTGTATATATATATATATATATATATATATATATTAAAGCAAGGAACATATTCATGGTTCAATTTTATTCTTATAAAATCTTGAACAGAAAGTATTACTATTTTTTATGATGTGTGATGGGTGCATTTTAACTTCACTACCTGAAATAGCAGAAATATACATGAATAAAAGTGACCCAGTTGAAATATATTATTCTTTCCAACTAAGATTTGCCTGATAGGATTCTAGGTGTATGTGCCCTACTTGAAATTTAATAAATATGTATGTCTATATATATATATATATATATATATATATTTATATAGATAGATAGGTATTTCAAACTTAGCCAACTAACTCATTCAGAGGACTTATAGTTTGTCAATTTTTGTTACCTAATTTGCAGGATGAGTTATTGTGGGGAGCAGCTTGGCTGAGAAGGGCCACCCAGAGTGATTCTTACCTCAATTACCTACAAAACAATGGTAAAACTCTCGGAGCAGATGACAATATTAATGAATTTGGGTGGGACAACAAACATGCTGGTCTAAACGTGCTTGTTTCTAAGGTTAGAGACATGTTTATAAGCTATTATGCAATGTTTATTTTTCACTATCTTACGGACAAATTAATTGTAATACTACTACCAAGGCACCGTTTGTTTAGATAGAAATTATAATAGTGAAAAGTAAAAGTAGAAAAAATAAATGAAATGAATGAAAAGAAAATGAGTAATGATACAGAATTTGAGAATCGGACCCATCCGACTAAACTTATGTGAGTAAGAGGTAACGTCATCTCTACTCATATAAAACAATTGGATGCATGTATCAGACTATTGGACTACTTGTTATTATTGAAAGAAAATATATTTTTCATGGTGTATCTAATTACCATGATTAATTTATGGTTGCTTTTCCTGCAAACCAAATTTCTAATGAAATGGACTGTGAATATTATTGAATGCTATGATTAACATGAATAATTAATATTGATCCAGGAAGTCATAGAAGGAAACATGTACAATCTCCAATCTTACAGAGCATCAGCTGATAGTTTCATGTGCTCACTCGTGCCCGAATCTTCGGGTTCCCATATCGAGTACTCCCCCGGAGGGCTCATTTACAAGCCCGGAGGAAGCAACTTGCAGCATGCGACTACGATCACATTTCTCTTACTTGTCTATGCCAACTCCCTGGAACGATCCTCACAGGTTGTGAATTGTGGTAGCATTAGTGTTGGACCGGCATTGCTCCGTAAAATCGCCAAGAGGCAGGTTGATTACATTTTAGGTGACAACCCTAAGGGCATATCATACATGGTAGGGTACAGTAACTATTTTCCTCAGCGGATTCATCATCGTGGCTCGTCATTGCCGTCCATCAAGGACCATCCTCAGTTCATCGCATGCAAGGAAGGCTCGGTATACTTCAACTCATCAAACCCTAACCCTAATTTGCTAGTCGGGGCTGTGGTGGGTGGACCAGGGGAAGATGATGCTTATGAAGATGATCGAGCTGATTTTCGCAAGTCCGAGCCCACGACTTACATCAATGCACCGTTTGTTGGTGCACTAGCATATTTTGTTGCAAACCCTAACCCTAGCTAGCACATTAACAAGCACTTGCTTGTATATAATAACGCAACAAGGACCACATTTAGGATTAGTGCAGAGAAATTAAGTCTCTCATCTTGTGCTAAGCAAAGAGGGAAGAGGTTAGTTTTTGAATCCTATGACTAGAATAGTCACGTAACTTATGTGACATTTCATAGAAAGGGATGTCAAATTGGTCATTCTTGTAACATGTAAAATTTCACTGCCTATCTACGCTTTTAATCGTTTCATTTCCTTTGAAACGTGATGCCTTTGAAACTCGAAATATATTCCACAACTTCTATTCTTATTTTATTTTATTTTATTTTTTATTTTTTCACATGAAATGAGTGTGCCAAACAAGAACAGAAAATCCAATGTACAACTATCAACATTAATTGTAAATAGGGCTATAAAGGAACCAATCGAATTGAGGTTTAGGTTGTTCGGGCTTTACTTAGGAGCTCAAAAGGAACGTTGAGTGTAGGCTCAGCTTGCTATGAATTTGAAAAGCTCCTATTTGACTCAACTCATTTAATTAAAAATCAATTTCATTTTTGTGTCCAGCCTCCTCTTATGCAAGTATTTTTTTTTAAAAAAAAATTTGGGGGGTGGGAGGGGAGATGCTTATACAATTTTATAAACATGAGTCTATGTTGGTTATATATCATAAATAAGTTTAGTCCGAGCCAAAGTTGTTTGGGGTCAGCTCGTTGAGCTTGACTAGTTTTGATTAATTGGCGAGTTGAAGCCATGTTTCAAATGAGTTAAAATTTGAAATTTATTTTTGATTTTTATGTTGATGGAGAGATTTAAATTCTCAATATTTTATTTTAAAAAAATAGAAAAAATATCACTAAATCATTGATGGTGAGAATTTTAGGTTGTCAATAATCTAATTAATGACAACTTCAAGTAGTTTAATATATGACATTTCGGCGGGTAAATTATTAAGTTTTAAACCTGTCGACTAGTGGGTAGGTTTGGTTACCCATATCAACTGTTTAATAATCACTACTAAGTTATGTAAATGCATTAAAGAGCAATTTATTAGAGGATAATTGGATAATCAATGTTTTAGACATCGATTTTATTCTCAATGTTTGTTTGCATATAACCAGATTCAACCAAACTCTATTGTCACATTGTCTTGTGATTCTAAAGTTATATATAGTGTGCATGTAAAAAAAAAGATATATCTATATATATATATACACACATGTATATACGGAAAGAGAAAGCAACAGTGCATGTGAAGTGCAAGTGTATGGTGATGAGATATGGAGAGTTGTAGGAAATGTTGGAGGTGTGTCCTGTGATTCCCGTGTAACAACTAACAACTCCAGAGTCCTGTGTTTGGTTACTGCCCTTGAAACACAGGCTTGGCCCTTAAAGGTGACATGTGATGGGTCCTGGGAATAATTAAGACCATAATTTACCCTTCTTGATTACTCATTTTGGGATTGGAATCATTTTTATTGGGTAAATATTTAATAGGACTCATTTATTCACCCAATAAAGCAACTATGTAAGGGCAAAATAACAGGCTGTTTTTATTTAATTCATTTAATTTTGCTACTAGTGAATATTACTTAATGACATTTACAAACGTATTGAATTAATGAAATCATTGTTGTATGAAAGAGTAACTCACCAGTGGTTGGCCCTTAGAAGAAAGGAAAGTTATACATGCATAACTTTAGATGAAATGATGAAATTGTAACAAATTTAATTTTAGTTATAAACGGAACTTGAATCTTTATGTTGTGTTTAGTATGCAGGAATGAAGTGAAATAGAATGGTCATTCTCTAAGTTAAACAAAGCGAAAGCGAAAGCGTCAAAGTTTAAAGTTTTTGAGAGCGGGAGCGTCTTGAAAGAATAGGTTTAAATAAAATTATATCAGGTCATGACATATATATTTTATATATTTTTATTTATTTAAATCCATATGCAAATATATTCATAATTATTTATTCCATTAATGATATATGTAATAAATAAGGTAATTTTTCTCACTAATAGATGTGTGATTTATTTGTAATATTCTCTAATTGAAAAGTTTGTTAGCAGTATATTTTCAAACATGTATAATTAATATATATATATATATATATATATATATATATATATATATGGTAGTATAGCAAGGCCATACAACTGGGGCACACTGAATTAAGTAATTAATGTATATGTTGAGTAATAGTGTAAATAATAAGTGCATATATGGTAATATAAGTGTTCCATATCACTGAGACTCTAACAAATTTAGCTATATAACGTAAATTCGTATGGAAATCTCAAATTAGGAAAACAAATTTTGCGAATTACAAAAATTGAATTTACGGATTTTGTGCGAATTCGCTCCCAAATCACAAATTCTCGTGTGGAGCTTGAGAGTGGGGCCGTGATTTAGGCCATTCTTGTAACGACTCGGATTTCTCAACCCGGTGCATTAGTGATGAACCGGAAGTTGACCCGATAACGGACCCAAAATGCGGAAGCGAAAGAAGCCAAATGACCTCAAGAGATGTACGTCATCCCTAAGGCCCCAAAATGACTCTCCATGAAGCCACGGAACTCAAATGAGCCAAGCAAATGAAGCAAGAATGCCTAACCCGAAAGAGATGAACTAAGGGCAAAATGGTCATTTCTCACTGAAAAGGGTGCCTCCGTGCACACCATTGGAAGGATAACGAAAAATGAACAAAATTAGACTCAAGAATCGTCTGATTCTGAGTCCGGGCAGAAAAGATATGAAATTCCAACACCCGATGCAAAAGTTATGAAACAATGACTTAACATTTTCCAATATTTTCATAATAAAATTTGAAAACAACAGTGCATAGAAAACGAGATACATGTCATTGGCCTCCGGCCTCATCTCATACATGTTAAATACATTGAAAAGAATGCACTTACGTACATTTTACATATACGAATCAACGAATACAAGTTTAAACAAATAGGGCTACAAAGAGGCATCTTATGCTAACACTTGCATAAAATAGAAACTTAGAAACTGTAAGCCATCCAAGGAGCAATGGAATCTTCAAATCCTGAGTCCTGTACCTGAAATATGCCCCAGTATCGTAGGGGTGAGTAACATAAAGCTACTCATAGGAGATGAGCATGCATCGACCTAGCATTTTACAATTTTATCACCTTATGGTGAAACATGTTAAAAGGGCTCATGCCACCTAACGTCTATGTCAAGATGAGACCTAGGGAGAATCCTAAGCTACCTAGATCATTTTTATCATAATCACATTGTTCATGCAATTCAAACAACATGGAAACATGTTATACAAGGCAACAAGACATAGATTCTCAAAGTCTTCAACTTGAAATCCAAAATACGAAAACAACAAGTGTGGGTCATGCCACCTAACGTCTATGTTCAAAATGAATCTATAAGGTCATTCATAAACTACATTTGAATATCAAAACACAAATTATGATATCGATGCAATTTAACTAACAATGGAACTTCCAATACAATGCATGAAACATGTTTTCACAAAGCTACATCTTAAGCTCAAAATAGGAAATCAAATAAGGAACAACAAGTTACAATATCATCTAGTTATCAACTTGAAATGAAATACGAAATCAAACAAAGTAGATACTCGGACGTCACGCCTGATCAGACTGAGAACATAGTTACTTTAGGGTTACTAGCCCATGGGTAACCTCCCTATGTGCGCACTCGACTATATAGAGGGACAATCCCCCGTACTAGAACCAAGTCCTAACTGTAGCCAAACAACGACATCCCCAAGTTTCCAAAATCAACAAATTGTGCAACAACGTATATATATCAACATGTATATACAAGATATCAACTATTTACCAAGCACAATCCAAATTTTGGAAACTTATACAATACATGCTCAAAATTCACAACTACTATGGCATGTAAGATGTCAAATACAAAGTGTGCAATTCCTTACACATAGCAATAATATATTCAATAAGGAAAAACATATTCTCATGAATATAAAAGTAACAATTATGTTATCCAATGCTCAAAAGTAATCAAGTGAACATACATCAAATCCAAATCCATGATTACAATATAGAAACAACTTCCAAAATGCAATTAAATCCATGGAGTAATAAAGTAGAATTTAATTAAACATAAATAGTTAAATTCTCTAAATTCCAAGTTAATCCAAATAACCTCAATTTAATATATATTGAAAGATATGTCATGGTCATCATATATATAACATCAAATGACAAGTTAAGTGATTAAAACACTTAAAACAAAATTAATTAAGCTAATTAATTAATTTCCTCTAGATTTTTAAACAATTCCAAATGCCCTCAATTTAATCTATGTTAGAGAACATGCCAAGGCCTATTTAAATACCACATACAACTTGATTTAATGCTTGATACAACCATGTGAATTAAACTTTCACTAAAGATAAATATTAAATAAAAGTTGTAATTCTTAATCAAATGATCCAAATTTAATATATGTTAATCAACACATCTAAGCATAATTTTCTAACATGTTACAATTCAAATCAAAGTTATACATCATCATAAATTTTAAATCTTATACAAAGAAATAAAAATTACTAATTTTCTAGATTTGATACAAGGCATACATATATGTTGTATAATCATGGAAAACACACAATACAATACACAAATAATCCTAAAACATTCCCTACCTCAATTGGAATGAAAATCCCACTTACCACCGAAATGAAATCGCCCCAAATTTTCAATCCGCAAAACAGATTTTTCAGTTTACTACCTTCAACTTGTAAAATTTATAAAAAATTCAATTCTAACCCAAATTGAATGAATCCAAAGCCCAATGAAATCTTAAACACTGTAATTTGACAATATCAATTTAGTTTAATAAAATATTTTCCCAATTGAAACAGTTTTGACTCACAACTTTGAAACAAATTCTGCCTAGAAAACACATTTTCAGCCTGTAGCTTCCAACTTTGAAAATTCATGAAAAATTCATTTGACATCCAAATTGGGCAAACCTAATTTATTTTGGAAGTAAACATATGAGAGTGTAAAACTAAAAATTTAAGCCATGATTCAATGTCAAAAGGTTAGTGAAATAAATTATTTAAAAATATGTTTTCTAGCTGCAATAAAAACATGGACAACAGATAGTTTCGGATTTTTAAAAAAGTTTAGAAATGCTCTAAAACCGTGAAAAAATTCTGAGTAGTGTAAAACCCATGGGGGAAGGTCCAGTAAAAATTTTAAGGTAATTGAAGCACCACAGCTCCATATAAAAAATTCATTTCCAGACCGAAAAAGAAAAGTTTCAAATTTC